AATCCTAGATCCCCAACTAGATCCTGTCTCTCGGTAACTTCTGAGCATGTTGCACATCTCTTAAATCATATTAATTTGGTTTATGTACTTAATTGACCAGATTATAAGTCCCTTAGAAAAGAGTGGAACACGGTCAGCTTTGTTCTTTGGATGTTACATGGCATGGATTTTGCAGAAGTGATGGCGTAGAGACTAAAATCCAAGAATTCCTATGCTAACTGGTTTAGTATCATGTTTATTATATCATCCTGAACAGTGTTTGGATAATGTCTTGGCTTGAGTAGTTGTTGGGGAGAAGGGACTGTATTCGAGGCTGGGGAGCATGACCTGCGTGAAGTCACGGGGCTGGAGTTGGACATAGGCAATTTTAGCTGCAACAGATACTGGCCTGACCATAGCAGAGTTTTTGTTGAGGAGCAATGAAAGAAAAGGTGGTGTGGCTTAGGTGTTACAGATTGTGAAGAACTTTTCAATATTAATTTTGTTTTTAAATGGTAGTGTGTGAAAAGAAAATCATACAGTATATGGCCATTCAATATTTGTTAAATGAACGACAGGAAAGTGTGACTTCTCTTCTTCAGTAAATCATAATTAATGTCTTTTGTATCCTTTAAGAGGTTGCATGTTCATGAATGCATTGTACTGCCTCAGATGAGCAGATACTAAACATCATGTAGTTGTTGCATGATTCATTTAACCATTTCCTTACTGGTAAAAATTGAGGTTGTTTATGGTCTTTTGCTGTAACAAGCAGTGCTGGAGTGATATTGATGCCACGTGCTTTTACATTTAATGTCTTTAAATAAAGTTGTTGACAGAGTCCATAGGACAGCCTATTAATGAAAACATTCTTTACTTCATCCTTTGTCACCCCCAAATTCTATGCTCCAGAAACATCTTTTGTCCTTTTTTTTTTTTTTAGTTTTACAAGCAGGTACCTCTACATTTCCAAATATGTTTATATTGCTATTTCTTGTGCCATTTTTTCCCCCATTTTAGACATTATTGACTTCCTAACTACTCTCAAAAATGAATTTTCTTATTACTGTTAACTTTGACACTGGAAGTTAAGTGGATATAGAATTAGAAGTATAAAATAATTTTCAATAATTATTTTGAAGGCCTCATTTCACAGTTCTGTAGCATTTCATATTATCCTTGAGAAGTCTTATGCTATCCTGATTCCTTTTTAAAAATATATATATGACATTTAATTTTATTTTTTAATCTGGATGCTTTTAGAATCTTGTCTAGATGGCTTTGATGTTTGAAAGTTTCATTTTTGCAAGTATCTAGTTGTGCTGAAGGCTAAATTTCTGGCAGTGGAATAGCGAACTTAAAGTTGGATGCATTTACATTCTTGACAGGTATCTCCTAGTTGTAATAAGTTAAAAAAAAAATTCTAAAGATAATGTGTTCTTGCTATGTTGTCCAGGCTGGAGTGCAGTGGCTCTTCACAGGCATGATCACGACACGCTACAGCCTTGAACTCCTGGGCTCAAGTGATCCTCCTGCCTTGGCCTCTTAAGTAACTGGGATTGCAGACCTGTGCTACTGCACTTGATTTTTTTTTTATTCTGGTATATCTTCTCAGCTAAGCACTAGCCATCCTCACAAAATCTAACTTTGGCACAGATCAGTTCAGTTCACCTTTTGAGCTCTTCCATTGAAATTCTTTTGAATTTGGCACTCCCCTCTCTCTCAGCCTGGCTCTCACACTTCCTTCCTTGTTCCCTCCCCAATACACACAAGTGCACATACTTCTCATTCACATTTCCAGTGTCTTTCCTTATCTATTAACAGCAACACAAATATATATTCTAGCTCGCTAATTAGAATAATTAGTACAACTGATGAGTTATCCCCAAATATTAAATCATTGCTAAAACATGATAGCATCTTATTGCTAAAATGACGAGTAAGAGCTATAGGTAAAGAGTTCAGTAGGAAGAAAATTTAAGGTTGAGAAACAGAATCAAGGGATAGAGTCAAGCCCAGAGAAAGGCAGAAGGCTATGGACTATGTCCTGGGGGATATGCCTACATCGAGTGGTAGGAAAAGCAGCTAAGGAAATGCTGAAATAAGCAGATAAATGTGCAGAAAAATATTAAAATTCAGTGGAAAGAAAGGTTTTGGGAAAGAAGATGAGATTAATGCTGTTTCCCTGAGTGGTCAGGGAGAAGGGAAGCAAAAATGCTTTGGAGAACAGTTTTGGCAGAGTGGAGGGGGTTAAAGTGAGGAAGGTGAGGTGATGGAAGTAGCTGGTTTAGAGCACTCGGTTCAAGAACTTTTATCTGGTCAAGAAAGGGAAGAGCTGGAGCAGAAGGTAGAATGGGAGGTATGATCAAAAGCAAGCATTTTTTCTGCATTGAAGGAGAGCTTACCTGTATTTGTGTAGATGCAAATGGGAGAAGGCAACTCTATGAATATCCAGTACTTTGGGAGACAGAAAAGATATGAGAACTCGAGATAGAGCAGCACATTTTACGAAGAGTGATTAAAGGAGATCGAATTTTCCTCTGAGACTCTAGGAAGGGTAAGATTTCTGATGAAGAGATAAAATGGTGGTAAAAAACTCACACTAAGCTTCAGTAAGGTTAATGAGATAAGGAAGCATAGAGATTGTTTTGAATAGCCATTTATTCATTTGTTTGTTTACTTACAGAATATCAAATATGTCTGTTCGCTAGAGATACAAAGATGAAGAAGCTACCAAATATATTTTATGCCTATTTTATTTTATTTTATTGAGACAGAGTCTGGCTCTGTCACCGATGCTAAAGTGCAGTGGTGTAATCTCGGCTCATCTCAATCTCTGCCTCCCGGGTTTGAGTAATTCTTGTGCCTCAGCCTCCCAAGTTGCTGGGATTACAGGCGCGCACTACCACACCTGGCTTATTTCTGTATTTTAAAAAATTTATTTATTTATTTTTGAGACAGGGTCTCGCTCTGTCACCAGGCTGGAGTGCAGTGGCACAGTCTTGGCTGACTGCAGCCTTCATCTCCCAGGTTCATGTGATTCTTGTGCCTCAACCTCACAAGTTGCTGGGATTACAGGTGTGTACCACCACACCTGGCTAATTTTTGTATTTTTAATAGAGACAGGGTTTCACCATGTTGCCCAGGCTAATCTTGAGCTCTTGGCCTCAAGTGATCCTCTCACTGCAGCCTCCCAAAGTGCTGGGATTACAGACATGATCCGCAGTTCCCGGCTGCTACCAAATAAATTTGTAGACAGAAGCTTATACATCTTTATTTCTTTTTATAGTGGTTATTTACAGCCTGAGTGGGCAGGAAAGAAGTGGACTCTGGGACCTACCGAGCATTATAGATTGGCATCCGTGAGTGTCTAAGAGGTCAGCAGAATTAGATAGTGGTGAAAATGACTTGGAAATAGTTAACTGTGGCCTGGGCTGGATAGGGAATCCAAGGTGTTAGGAAACTGAATGGAATTCTTTGAAGGTAGCAAGCAACCTGAAGGTGAAGGTTTGGCCAGGGTGATGTAATAAAAGAGATAGAGAAAGGATATCGTGATAGGAGGAGGTAAAAGAACACCACTTTTGAGCTCTTAAAGACAGAGCTTGCCATGAAATATTCAGTACGCCTGATGGGGAAAAGGAGGTTAGGTTTGGTAGGTTAAATAACAAAAATTAGAGGCGCAGTATGAATGTTAAAAGAGATCATGTTAATTGCCAGAATCACAAATCGTATTTTTATCAGTATGTTGCACATACTGTGATACAATAATCAGACATGGTGAGTTTTTAAAAACTAATAGGTTTTATAATGTCAGTGAGCACCATTTTTAGTATCTTCAGAATAACATTGTGGGTGTGTACTCTGTTTATAGCAGTCTTTCCGAAAAGCTCAATTTCACTTGACTGTTCATATCCATTAAGATGTGCAGTGTGATACCTTAGATCTTTCAAGAAATGTGGAGAATTGTTTTTATTGATACATGGTATGTGTACAGAGGTAACTTGATAATAACAGTGTAAAGACTTAAAGCTTTTAGAGTTAATATAATAAACCACGCACAAAAAGTGCTCATCATTTAAAGGGATTTACTTCTCTGGGTACATTACATCCACTGAGGATAATGGCTTGGTGTGTATTTATTAGTATCATTACCTTCTTAGGATTAACAAATGTAGCAGGTATTTTGATGGGCAACATTAGGAATGTTTTGTTTATGTGTCTCTTTGCTCACTGCAGGGAACTTCATTCCATCTGCAGACACACTGCCAGCCTGATGATTTCAGTTTGCATTTGCTTAAAGAACAATAAACTTTCTGTGAACTGAAAAGAATGGCTGCATTTTTCACAATGTATCTGTGAAAAATAAATGGCTACTTTACAGTAGTAAGAAACACATTTTTTTTTTTTTTCTAATTGGAAACCATGGATTCTTATGGCAAAGAGACTAGATACTCTGGTTTGTCTGGGGCAGTCCTGGTTTATTCCTAGTGTCACAGTATCATGTTCAATTATCACTCCTCTTCGCTCTCAGAAGTTTTCTCATTTGGACAATATGTTATATGGTCATTCTACTTGTGGGTTACATTTTGAGGTATATGGTCTGTGACTCATACACCTTAGTAGTTGAAAGAAGAAGCCAGTAGTTGGTTTTGCCTTAAGAGGTTTAGAGATACTTGAACAAATTTGTTCCTTTCTCCAACTTTCTAGAAAATACATTTTAAAATATATTATAACTTGTACTGAGTTTGGTAGTTGCTATTTAAAATCAGCAGATATGTTATGGTATAATATTTAACCAGGGAGGAACAGCCTTTCAGATGAATACATTCTTAATACCTTCTGCTTTGAGAAAGTGAGAAATACAGTAGTGTTGGGCCTTGGATGAAATGATGGGTGGGTAATGTTCAACAATGACTTAAACCTTGATTGTTTTAATTTCTTCAAACAGCACTAACATTCTGAGAGAGCCTGTGTGCTTAGGAGGATGTGAGCACATCTTCTGTAGGTAAGTAATTATAGCTTGATGTATATAGGACAACTATATTTTTTACTAGATAACAATCAGGTAGTCTTGTTGATAATTATAGTACTTCATGTCTGTGTAACTTTCAAAGTCTGCAAAGTAACATACTGTACATTATCTTGGTATTTATAACTGTGTTTTAATTTACAAAGAAGAAAGAAAAACAGCTCCAAGAGGATGACTTGTCCAAAGTCACAAAGCTTAGTAGACAGCTTTGCCAAGTTTGAGGAAAAAAATTAATCTTTTGTATAATGTATGTTTTTAAATTTTCCAGCTAAGTTTTGAATCGACTCAAAGTTATGAAAGTATAGTTCTTATAGTTATTGCATTAGTTTCCTAAGGCTGCCATAGCAAAGAACCAAAAACTGGGTGGCTTAGAACAACAGAAATGTATTTTCTCTACAGTTCTGTAGGATAGGTGTCTAAAATTAAGATGATGGCAACGTTGGTTCCTTCTATGGGCTTCAAGGGAAAATCTGCTCCATGTCTTTCCCCTAGCAATCTTTGCTGTTCCTTGACTTTAAGATGCATCACTCTGGTCTTTGCTTTTGTGTATACCTGGCATTCTTCCTGGAGTGCATGCTTCTCTGTGCCACATTTCCCCTTTTTATAAGAATACCAGTTATATTTGATTAGGGCTCACCCTAATGATCTCATCTTAATTTGATCACCTAGAGTCCCTGTTTCCGAATTAGGTCATATTCACAGTTACTGAGGGGTGAAGACTCAAGCATCTTTTTGGGGGACACAATTCAATGCATAACAGTTATTGTGAAATTATATCCATGTGATGGCCGTGGCTTGTATGTCAGAAGACTAAACTTTTATCTCCTATTTCTTGTTCAGGAGAAATCAGTTGAGAGATTAAGTGTCTTAGTTTAATTGTTTAATTGCCTATGAGACAGGGTAAATATAGCCTCCTTTGAATTAATCTTTTAATTATTTCCAGTTATGATTATGTTACTATCTGGCATGAACAAACTGCATTCGGAAATTTGAGCATATATGAAAATAACCTTGTGTGTTACTTCATGGGCTAAGGTCGTCTGGGAGGCAGCTATGTTTTGGGTCCCAATTTTTGTTTCTGAAAAAATAGATCTGTTAGAGATATCCAGCTGGAGGATGGGATAGGAGATGATACCTGTTGCCTACCAGATACCTCTGTTTGGATGATGAAAGAAAAGGCATTTTAAAGTTGGTATGTTCAGAGCTGATTTCTTGATCATCCTCCTCTTCAGTCTTTTCCTGCCTAGGTAATCTTCATCACAGTAGAGGGTACCACTTATGGCTAAGTTGCTCATCCCACATCACTAAGTTCTGTCCATTCTGCCTCAAAATGTGTCTTGAATCTCGAATTTTTCTACCTGTTTTCTGAATTTGCTACAGTTTATTGTTTGTTCCAAGCCATCATTATACTACCTCTGCTCATCCTAATGTGATAGGTTCATAACTGGTCTTCCCTTTTTGGTGTCATCACCCCTTCCTCATTTTGTATATTCTCGACAGTGATCTTTGAAAAATCTCAATAATGTTCATATCATTACCCTGCTTAACTCTTTAGTGGCTTCCTAGTGCAATTAGAATAAAATCCAAATTCTGCCCTGTGGTCTGCAAAACGCTGTATGGGACCTAGACCCTGTCTGCCTCTCAGACCTCATTTACCTCTGCCTCTCACTGTTCCAGAACTTCTCCTTTTAGTTCATTAAATACACCAAACTTACTCCCGCCCGGGACTTTGTCACTTGCTATTTCTTCCACACGGAATGTACTTATGCCAGATTTCCATGAGGCTTACTTTTTATCAGTTATATTTCAGCTGAAATGTCACTGCCTCCAAAACGCCTCCCATGGATTTGCTTACGAAATGATACCCACTCCCTCTCTCCACTCTGTAGCAAGCAGATGTATTTTGTTTCAGCAGACGGACGACGGGTTTGCTTACTGTTTACAATAGGTCTGCTTACTGTGTATGATAGGTCAGTCACAAAGCTGCTAGAGCGTGATGAACTCCATGACATTTTTATGCAAAGCTGGTTTGTGTGTGTGGTCGGGTAGGGGATCCATACTTTTTAATCAAATTCTAAAAGGGATTCTAAAGGGCGCTGTGACTTAAAACAGCCAATAAAAGGTTAAGACATGAGAACATCTTAAAAGAGAAAATGATTATGTGTATATGACAGCATAGGAAAGAATTCATTCAGTGAAGTTTTGATGTATTTTGATTATATAATGCCAAAAATTATGCTAGTTGTTTTTATTCTTTGCAGATTTTGAGTTAAAATAAAACTGCTAGGCAATGAGGTTTTCAAATGATTTTGACACAGCTCAGTCCAACTGATACAAGTAGTTCGTCTACTCTCTAAGATACAGTTCGTTTAAGACATCAGGGTTGCTCAGATATTTTGGTCTCAGATCACTTCACACTCTTCAAAACTGAGAACCAAGAGCTTTTGTGTGTACATACGTGTGTGTGTGTATTTATCCTACAAAACTGAGACTTAAGAAAAAAGAATTCATTTAAAAATAATAAGCCCATTACATATAAACATAAATAACACTTTTTTAAGGAAAAAAATAACAATTTTACAAATCAAAGAAAAAAATAGAGTGGCACTGTTTTGCATTTTTGCAAATCTCTGTCTTGCTGAATAGAAAACAGCTACATTCTCAGCTTATGTATTCAGTCTACTGTGATAGGTTCTTTTGATTGAAGAAAATCTGGCCTTATACATATTTGTAGTTGGAGGAAGTATTTCAATAGCTTTTACTTTTTTTATTTTCTTTCATTTTTATAAGATTCAATTCAGGCAATTTTTTTGTTTTTCATTTTTTTTCTTTTTTTTTTCCAATAGCTTTTGAAGATAACTGTGGCTATTCCTTAATATTACACCAAAACTTGACAAGTGCTTTTTTTTTTGAAGACAAGAGTCTCTGTCACCCAGGCTAGAGTGCAGTGGTGCGATTGTGGCTCACTGTAGCCTCAACTTCCTAGGCTCAGGTGATCATCCCATTTCACTTACTGAGTAGCTGGGACTACAGGTGTGCCCCACCACACCTGGCTAATTTTTGTAGTGTTTTGTTTTTTGTTTTTTAATAGAGACAGGGTTTTGCCATGTTGCCCAGGTCTTGAACACCTGAGCTCAAGTGATCCTCCTGTCTTGGCCTCCCAAAGTGCTGAAATTACGGACATGAATCACCATGCCTGGCCAACAAGTGCTGTTTTCTTTGGGTTCATCACAATGTGGAGTCTCCAATTATATCAATAAATTTTTATACTCGGTTATGTGAAATTCCATTGGTTTATCTAGTACTTGGAATTTATCTTTTACTCAGCATGATTTTAGAACATCTCACATGGGTCATTTGGGAAATACTCGCTCATGGAGCTAAACAGATCTACTGAACAATGACATATTTTCAGAATTCTGAATTAATGTGTATAAAATAATTTGGGAATAGTTTATAAAATGTTACAGAATATGTAAGGTAATAGTCTGATCTGAGTACCAGTGCAGTGCAGGGCAAGTGACTTTAACTGGATCCCATTTTCTTCAAAAATGAGGTGGTGGTTCTTGATCAGTTGATTTCAGATTGTGTTTTACTAATAATTAAGTCTTGCACAAATGATTTAAATTGCCTGAGTAATCAGGTTTACATATTTTTTTTGTGTTCATATTCCAAGTTAGAGTTTTTAACTACTAGCAAACAAATGTATAGAAGATCCTTTGCTAAAGTTGACATTTATTGACCCCCATGACGTTTTTTGAGTCAGATGGTCACAAAACCTTCTGCCAGCTCTAGTATGGGTTACAGATTCATTTTACAACTTTTTTTGAGTTCCATTCTTTCAGGAATCATGCTAAAAGCCAAGGATATAAAAATTAGAAATGGCATAGGTTCCCCTCTGCCTGCAGAGGATTGGGTCTAGCAAGGAATGTCCTGTAGTGCTTGGGGAAGATGTGGCTTTTTCAACTGTTATGTTACTCAGTCTTGCTGGAACCCATCTGGTGGGGCCAATGAAGGAGTAAATTTATAGAATTCTTATTCTGAAATTCACAAATGGGCTTGTCGGGGGGGAGATTTTGATTCCTTCTTTTTACATGAGTACATACATGTTTTCATCAGATTTGCAAAAGGTTTGTAAACCCCAAAATGAGAAAAACCCTTCTAACTATGAAACTAATGCTTAGTTAACCCAGGTAATTGAGACTATAGGTTATAAAATTGTCTGAAAGAACCAAAGATCTTTTCTCAAAAGCTACTTTAAAGCCTTGAGATACTAGTCCAGAAACAAAACAAAAGGTCTTCCCCAGTCTCTGCAGTAGTTTTCGGTAATTATTTTTATGGAATGTTAAGATAGAATAAGTTAGGATGCATGGCTACTATACCTTAGATATTCTATCTTTCTGTTACATCTCTGTTATCTTTAGAAGCTACAGGTTTATTTGCAGGAAAAATTATACAGACTAATGTCAGGCTACATAAAGTCACTTCATAGCAGATTACATGAGCAATTCTAGATTTGATGTGTGTGTGTATTTTACTCTTTCAAACAGTATTTAACAAGTGTATTACAATTGACCTTTTAATACACTTGTTAGAATAACCTCTGCTCTATTTATTTCTGTTCAAACTGTTTAATTTTTGAAATTTAGATTCTGCCGAATGGGCTGATTTTTTTTTTTTTTTTTTTTTTTTAATTTTTTTAAGTAATTGTGTAAGCGACTGCATTGGAACTGAATGTCCAGTGTGTTACACCCCAGCCTGGATACAAGATGTGAAGATTAATAGACAACTGGACAGCATGATTCAACTTTGTAGTAAGCTTCGAAATTTGCTACATGACAATAAGCTCTCAGGTAAGAAGTATCCCCGCCTCTCTTAGTTAAAAACTGGTGAATTCATATTCGTCATGTAAAGTACGTAAAACATCTGTCTGGAATTCTGAATGATATATTTCAGATTTTAAAATGTGGAGTTTTTTTAACAAAATAGCCATGAGTATCTTTATGTTGTCCAAGCCAGACTTGAACTCCTACACTTAAGGGATTCTCCCACCTCAGCCTCCTGGGTACGTGCATGTGACACCACACTCAGTGGTTTTTTAGGAGATCATTTTGAGAAATGACAGAAACCATAGCGATAATTAAAGTCTAATCCCCTTATTTTATTGTTGAGAAATCGAAGTCCAGAGAGGTGAAATAACCTTGCCTACAGCCACATGTGTAGTTAGTACCAGAAGCTGGAGAAATAGAGCCCATTTCTGATTGTAAATCCAGGAACTTTTTTGCTGCTTTTACACTGCCTGCTTTTTACATTTATGATAACTTCCGTGGAATATATATGGCATAGTGATTTTGGCCTTAATAGCACTTAACTCACTTAAATACACTTTCCCAAGATAGAATACAATACTCTTCCAGGGATCACTTTTCTAGACTGAATTAATTAGATTAGCACATTTTGAAAGAGCAGAAATCTAATAATCATTTTCTTTTCTATTTAAGTGGGGGTTAACGTTTTTCAAATTGTCCTTAGACTCTGTGTATTAACTATATATCTTTCCGTTGTGCTTTCTGCTGAGAGCTAATTAACTGTGGAAAGAAAGTAAAATATTTTGTATCTTCATAATTGGATATTGGGATTGTCTTTTTATTGGCCAGATCATGCCATTTTAGTGTGTGTTTGTAGAAGAGCCTGTTCTTGACTGGCAGGATGCCATGGAAGATTGATAATGCTTATGTAAAATTGTTAGATTTCTGTTTTTAAATCTTTTGTTCTTAGAATTTTGCCATGATGTCTTACTGTCATCTACTAAAGATGAAGTTGAGTGTACAAAATAAAGAAACGTGGCAAAAACTTTGAGTCGTACCACAGGTCTGTGTTTTTAAGAATTAGAACTCACATCAGTCTATACCTATGAAAAATTTCCTGCAGCTACTTATCTGCATCATTGTATTTGACTCCATTCTTTAAGATAAAATGTGCTGTAGTGCAGAAGTTTTACTTACTTTCAGATGTAACTATACACACATTTTTAAAAGTTGCCCTGTTTTAAAAATGATATTGTAGTTGTAATACACAACTACAGTGTTTTAAGAACACACTGAAGAAAAAAATTGTCATTAGGTCATCTAAACTATTCTTATTCAGAGATAATACTGATAATTTTTTTTTTTCTAGTTAAAAGATTGGTATGTGATCTAGCTTTCTCTCCCCACATAGATACCATGGGTCAGTGCAGGGGTTCTTAATTAGGGGCCCACGCACTTTTGGCAGTGTTCAGAGTTGAAGTGGGTACAGGATCAGTGAGCCTCTTGAGTTAATTGTGCAGTATAGAAACTGTTCATGTTTGTGTGAAAGTGGCTTCTGTTAGATTCTTAGAAGTGTGCGATCTGTTAGGATTATTGGCTTTGCATTGAAATTTGGAGTGCTACTTTGGGATATGTGGCTATGATGATATTTTGATTTGGTTCTTCACCATTTGCTGTGAAGTAATGTATTCATTCATTTGCTAGAACTGCTGTAACAAAGTATCACAAACTGGATGGCTTAAATAACAGAAATTTATTGTCTCACAATTCCAGATACTCAAAGTCTGAGATCAAAGTATATGCAAGGTTGGTTCTCTGTTAAGGACTGTGAGAGGGAACCTGCTTCAGGCCAGTCTCCTTGGCTTGTAGATGACCATCTTTATGTTTACATGGTATTTTCCTTGTTTGTATCAAATTTCCTCCTTTAACAAGGACAGGAGTCATTGCATTAGGAGTCCACTGTATTCCAGTATAGCTTCATTTTAACTAGTTACATCTACACTGAACTTATTTCCAAATAAAGCCTCATTCTAAGTTACTGGGGGGTTAGGACCTCAACAAATGAATTTTGGTAGAGGAGGAACACAATTTATAACAAGTAATATAACATTTTTCATGGTGATAAACAGAGAGCAAGGTAACCCTTGATGGATTTACTGCTGTCAGTTCTGGCATACTATAGGGGCGCAAAGAAGAGTGAAATAGACTAAATAGAAATTTTACTCTGGCTAGTGATGTTTGAATCATTTATATTTTGAGGACTATGGAATATGAAATGCTTTCATATTTCATCATTAAAGATATTTAGAAAACTGAGTTTAGAACAAGTTTCTGAGGCCTTTTAGAATGTAGTCTTTCTCATCTACATAGAGTTGGAGATGGGAGAGATCATTCTACTGATTAATTTTCCAAAGGCCATTTTGTGTTTGTTTTCCTTATTATAATTAAGAATAATTACTTTAGTTCTTACCAGACTTAAGCACTGCTGCCTTCAACATGACTTACGTTAAACTGAGTTGAATTTCACTGTTTAGATAACACATATTCCAAAATTTAGAAACAAGAAGATCATCTTTAATTCCGTTATTCTGTAGGTAAGGAAACTGAGGACCTAGGCTACACAGGCAATTGTGTTGTAAATTTCTTATTTACTGTTTTTCTATTTTGCACAACCTTTTGGTTAGAAGTGTAGGTATTCATTATGTTTGTTGAATTGAGTTGGATAAAAATTGGCAATGCTAATTTATATCTTAGAGACTAAGCTTAATTAAAATGATTTATTTATTTTGAGACAGACAGTGTCTTGTTCTGTTGCCTAGGATGGAATGCAGTGGGGCCATCATGTCTCACTGCAGCCTTGAACTCCTGGGTTCAAGAGATCCTCCCACTTCAGCCCCCCAAGTAGCTAGGATGAGAGGGATGCACCACCACACCCAGCCAATTAATTTTTTTTTTTTTAAGAAGAGATAAGGTCTTGCTGTGTTGCCTAGGCTGGTCTTGAACTCCTGGCCTCAAATGATCCTCCCACCTCCGCTTCCCAAAGTGCTGGGATTATAGGTATAAGCCATTATGCCTGACCTAATTAAAATAATTTTAAAATACATTCTTAGAATTTGGTTTAAGTAATTCATTTTATAATGGTAACATCTATGCATTCATAGGCCTTCTTAAAAATGATAATGGTAATATCTTTCTTTGCTACTTTGATAGAAAATTATAATAAATTTAGAGTGTAAACATACTGAATTATAACATTCTGCCAGATCTCTTAAGTTCCATGGTGCAGAGGTTTTTCTACCTTAATATAAGTTGCATAGTCACCAAGTTTTCATCCCAAAGTCTTCCCAAAACAAACTAGCCTTGAAGGGCATTTCAGATTTTTTTTCTGGAACGTTTCCTTTGTTTCTTTGATAGTTTGTTCAGTGTGTTTTATGCAGTACCTTTGTGGTAGTTGATTACCTAGTAAGTACTTCTAGAACTAAAATGTTAGATGGCAAACTATATACCAGGAACTGATGGTTGGGGACAAATGACGGTCTTCTTTATAATGAGAAGACTGGAAAATGTTCTCATTAAGATAAGAGTATTAGATTAAGTGATTCCTAAGCTGTCCCTCCAAGATCGTATGATTCTGTTAAATGGTCATGTGTAAAAGATGATGAATTAAGTGGAATGGTGAACGTCTCTGCATTTTCTCTTTTAAAAACCCTGTAGTTCACAATTTATCTTTTAAATGAACCTTGTTACTTGGATTTACTATAATATATATAATTACTCTAATTAAGGTGGGCAATTAGGAAGAATTTGTCAAACCATGGACATAGTGTATGGTATGCTGGAGATAAAGAAGCCTGATTTATAGTAATACTTGCTAAAATGAGCTTCTAAATACTCGAACACGTTTTTCTCGGTTCAGTGTACTTTAAAAAGGAGATTGTCACATTTTGCTGACAACCATTTATGGATAATTTTACGTTATCCTTTATGACATAATCTTTTTACTAATGGAGTTAAACTTAAAGGTTTTCATTTTCTCTTGATCCCTGTCATATTAAATCAGACCTTGCAGGTGCCAGTCAGGTTCTATGAAACATGTTGGTGTTGGTAACATTAAAAAAAAAATACTTTGATTATGCTTTTATAGTGTTACAATTTCCCTTTCTGTTTCTGCTTTAGAGAGAGATGCTGGTCTTTCTGTAACGATTACATAGTGTTTCATATATGCATTGACTTCTTTGTAATAGATGAAGATGAATGTTTGAATAGCGGTGTTGCCATTGTTTTTTTTTTAAATAGAGCTAAATGCTTCCTAACTTACAAAATAATCATTCTTCAGTGAAGGCGTTAATGTTGCACAGATGGTAGCAAAGGACTTTCCTTTGATTTTTAATAAGGGACTGGTTCATTGAAGAGATTTCTCAACTTCTGTTATGAAACCTATAATAGAGAATAATTAGAAAGGCACACAATGTACATCATTATAATCCTTTGATGTAGATTAATGATAGCTAAATCACATTTTCTAATTGCTTCTTTTTTCTATAGTTGATTATTAAATTTTAAGAAAAAACTTGGCTAAGCAGCTCCTTAGTAACACGTGCATCTCTGTTCCTCAATATTTTGTGATGTACTCTGAAATTCAGAGAATAGAATTTTTAAATATTATCATTAAGGAATGTACTGTGCAGAGGAAGGACCAATATTTTTCTTCATGAAATGAATATGATGATTTATCATGCTGAGAGGCAGTCACCCATAAAAACTGTTGGTAGTTGTTAATAACATGATTTATGTTTCAGCAGTAGTGTTTTGTTTTTTACAGTCTTATCTTAGATATTGTCTTAGATATTCAGAATATCTGATAAAATTCGGAATATACAATCATCTTGTTGTCATGCTCCTTTTTTAGTTATACAAGATACATAATTAAAATCTTCTTGAGTAAAGTTATTTATTACCAGATGAATAATAAAATTGTGTTCATATCAATTACATTGAATGTGTTATCTTCATTTACTCATTTATAAGGTAGGATATATGTACAC